ATAAATAAAAAAGATAAACGAATTTTAAAAAAAAAAAACATAATTAGAAATAATAAAGTAAAAAACTGAAATTGTGGCCTGTAATTTAATTTGAACTTATTGTAGATAATTAATGATTAGCATGAAATAAGGGATCCAAACAAATTAACAATATTTTTTATCCTTAATTCACTCAAATCAGTTAAAATAAAATAAAAAATCAGATTATATCTTTTTTTTCTTCAACGTTTCTCTCTCTTAATTCTTTAGCCTTAAAAATTACCAGAATCGAGTAATTGAAGGTTTATTTCATTGAAAAAAATTGATTTTATTGAGATGGACAATTACGTAACAATTCTAATTAAACATGGTGGAAGATGGATCCTTCGGGTTAGTATTTATTATTGTTTAGTGTTTGTTTTTAAATTACATTGAAATGTATTTTTTTTTATTAAACTGTAAATCGTCTCTATGTTTAAGATGATATCTTTACTTGTTAACTATTGTGAAATGTATAATATTAATGATTTTCTGTTTTTGTGTATTTTTTTTCTTAAAGTATAAAGTAATTGTATATTTATGAATGAATTTAATAGAATTATTGGAAAGAAATTTGTAAGAAAATGTGTTTCTTAAGATGTAAAAAAAGTTATTTGGATTTTTGACGAATTGTATAATAAGTGTTTTAAGTTGGTATTAAATTATAAATTTTAGTGTGTTATATTAGATGTTTTTATTTCTGAAGTAATTAGTGAGTTAGAAATGAATTATTTGGTACGATAAGATATAGATATTTGTAATGTATGATTATTTGTTGTATGAAATGTGTATTAAGTGAGTTTGAAAGTTGTTATGAAATAAGTTGTCTTAATGATATATGTATGAAATGTATATTAAGAAAGTATGAAATTTGTATGAAAGTGTGTCCAGTAATTCGAATTATTTTTTTTTTTTGAAATTTTGACGAATTGTATGATAAGTGTTTTAAGGTTGTATTAATTTTGAAATTTTATTGTTGACATTTTTGTATAAATTTGTGTGACATTAATGAAGTATTTTCGTAAAAAAAATGAACATATTTGCTGTATGAAATTTGTATTAAAATAATCATCAATTGTTGATATGCATATTGTTGTTGATGGACCAAAGAAGTACAAGTAAACTTAAACACCAAGATGTGTAGTTGCGGAAGATTTCAAAATGATGAGATTCCATGTGGGCATGGAATGACAGTTCTTAGATACAGAAGACTGCATGAAAAAGAATTTTGCTCTCCTTTTTATAGGCTGAAGAATTTTCAAGATGCATATGCCATCCCTGTTGAACCTATTCCTTGCGAGAGTACATGGGATATACCAAGTTATATTTCAGAGCCTAAATTGATGCCACCCGGTCCAAAGAGACCTGTAGGAAGACCACAACTTGAACGATGGAAGGGGTTTGCTGATGTGAAATTCAAAAGGTCAAAAGTTACCTGTAGTAGATGTCGTTAAGTTGGACATAACAGGAAGACATGTTCAAATTATCCTGTGCAAAAAATAATGAATGTTCATTTGTTAAGACTATATATAATTATTATTTTTTTGTTGGTTATATTAATGTTTTGGTTTGATATAAGACATAATAATTTTGTGTTTAGTGTACTAGTTATTATTTATACACTATTCATTCAGTTATCATACAAAATGCAAACTGTTATAAATTTAGTGCTTGGAGCAATTTTTAGTAACAACTGTATGAATTTTGTGTACTTAATGAATGAATTGTGTATAAATTAAGACAAATGTGAAAACACAATTCATAACATTTGTATATAAAAAGCATACCATGATTAAATACAATGTCCAAACATTTAATATGCATTCTATATGATTACTGAATGAACAGTGTATGAGTGTGTTTCTATATGATTACTCATTAGTTGACACGTGTATGGAATCTATTACTATGACTTTTAATATTAAATGTTTGGACATTGTATTTAATCATGGTATGCTTTTTATATACAAATGTTATGAATTGTGTTTTTATAAATTACGCAAAATGATAAATATCTAGAGTATATTATATAATATAAATATAATTTTGATAATTTTTAATCTGTGATTACAGTTTCGTAAAATTTTGCTATTTGATTTTCTAATTATATAAATCCAGGATTTGTATAATTCGGTTCCTGATGGTATAAACACATATTTTATATAATTTGATTCCTCATTGTATAAATCCAAAATTTGTATATGCTTACCCTAACTATTTGTATATGATTTATAGAAATTCATAATAAATTACCATGTTTGTATATTGACAAACGAAATATACAAACGGACATTCTGAAAAATTTCTAAATGTATAAATATAAATTTTATATGTATTTACCATGTTTGTATATTCGCAAGCGAAATATACAAATGGGTAAGCAAAATATACAAATCGCAACCTCCATGGCAAACAAAAGTATAGTCATAAAACGCAATTACCCAAATTATCTTTGCCAATTCTGAAATTCTCTTAATAACATCTCCCATATTTTAAAAATTGAAAATTTCATAAATTTATTTTACTATGTTTCAAAATGTAGAAGGAGTTTGATTTCAAAACTTAGCAGAATGTATTTGTATATTTGCGCGCATATAATATTTTATTCTAGTGGAAAAGCATTTAGATATATTATTGGATTATAATTATATATGTATCTATGTTTGATCGATTATATATATGTATATGTGTTCTCAAAATAGAAATTGAATGTATGCGTCGCTAATGATAATTGAAAATTTTAGATAGACAACTATGTATACTGATAGAAGATAAAAATATTAAAATATGACTTTAGTGATAGACATATAAATTTTCTCATGTTCAAAGAGAGGAAATTTTGTAAAATGCTTATTAGTGTCCATGTTTTATATATAAAAAAAGTCATTGAGGTTTTGCTATATGTTTCGATGTTTAGAAGCATTTTAATTTTAGAATATAATAAAATATATGTATTTGTATTGACTAAGGAGTGTGTATAATTAAAAGATATAATTGAAAGTCAATAATTAAGGAGAAAATCACGCTTATAACAATTTTAGAGGATCTGACATATCACAACTCCTAAAAAATAAACAAAACAATCAACATCCGCCTTTTTTTTGCCGATTCACCAATGTTTAGATTCTTATCTTGAAAACCTGTACACTTTATCAGATACACATAGTAAGAAACAGTGATAAAAAATAAATAATGTGTCAGATACATGCTGGCAACATGTAAAGTCATATACATAAACTCTTGCTTAGACCTCATTTGTTTTCATTAAGATTAAGACGTTTGAAACTGAATGCACAATTGAATGATTAAGATCTTGTCTCTAGATCTGAACATTGAATGTTCAAAGATTGTTTGTTATTAAACATCTGAATATAAGAAAATAACTCCAGTCTTTGATAAACGTTAAGATATTTAAATTATAAATTAATATTTTAACTTTGATAAAAATAAAATGGAACTACATGGACTATATAGATAAAATTATAATAATAAAAGTAATTGTTAGAAAACAATATAGTCTTTTTTTTAATTTCAAAAAACACATATTTATGAAGTTGTTTTGCACTTTAGTCAAATAAAAATTTTACAATAAATTTTATCAATTCTTGGTAAACAAGCCGCAAGAACAAAAATGAAAAGCATAAGGAAAATAATTTGGATAATTAATAAAGCTGGAGAATAAGAGAGACTTGTTTTTTTTAAGAAAAAATATATGAAGCTCAATTTTTTTCAAAAAATAAAAGTGTCTTTAAAAAGGTCTGAATGAGAATAAGAGATCTGATTCATTCACACCCATTAAGAGATTTTTTTAGTAAAAAAAACAAATGCACTTAATGTCCTAGTGTCTGAACCACTCAGATTCAGACCTCCATTAAGTGAAAACAAATGAGACCTTAGCTATAAGTATATATTTCGTCATATACATGTTCAATTAGTCATATACACTGATAAAACTAGATACATTATGTCTTAACTCAGAACACATGTACACTTTATTATATTCATGAGCTCTTATTCAGATGCACACATATATTTTATCAAATACATTACTAAAAATTAGATACATATAATATTAACTCAAAAATGTACCAGATACATCAATAATGTGTCAGATAAAAGCGTAAATCTCCACTTATTATTTTCACAGAAAATATTCATAATTTTTATCTTTATGCAAACTTTAGAATATCCTTTGTCTCGTCATCAGTGACATAAAAAATAATAATCAATCCACTCTAGAAAATAATCAATAGTGCAATTTTGGTGTTGTTTTATAATAATAATAGGCTTCGAAGTAGGACTAAAAATGATCAACAAGGGTAATCCTTCAAAGGCGTTGAAAAATCTAAAAGGCTCGTGCCTTTTGATGCTTCTATAGTATTCATCGATCTGATTAAATCGATCTTCAAAATACACTATCAATAATCATATATATGCGTATATAAACAAATTTCTGTAACAAATTAGTGAAAGGAGAGAGCAAAAATAATATAAATCTCTTTCTTGGTATTGAAGATGCAATAATAAAGGTGAGGGAGAAGGAGGAGGGAGAATGCTGAATAAAATGTGGGAGAGAAAATATAGAAGAGAATGTGAATTGATTTTTAGTGAATGCATAAATTATGGAGAGAATTGAATGAATAAATCATTAAATTAATTTTAAAGAATGAAGTATCTTAATGTATTTAACTTCAAATATGATATGAAATTCTTAATTAATAAAAATACTTATAACTATTTTTGTATAATTATTTGAAAGTATAAGCAGAATTAGTACATATGGTATCAACATGCAATTTTTTCTTGAGAAAAAGGATCTTTCAACAAAAAAAAAAAAAAAATTACTAAGAAAAAAGGAAGTAAAAATTGCCATTAATAAAAAAAAAGGGAAAAGAAATTGAGATGGTGGAGAAATAAAGGGCATAAATAAGAGAAGTTTGCAATTATTGAAAAATCCACAAACCCTAACTAAGATTTATATATATGTAAATAAGAATAAGAATTATCTCACATTATACTATATACTACAAAGAAACATCAAAGAAAATTCAGCAAGTAAAGTCTTTCTCCCCCTTTTTTATCTCTGTTTTTTTCACTCATTTTTTCCTCATTCAATACACTTTTTGCTGTTTAAGAACAAAAAAAAAGGTTCTCATTTGCTTCCTACATATATATATATATATATATATATATATATATATATATG